ACCAGACGCATCATAAACAAATTATTGCATAAATATCGCGACACTTTCGATATGGATATCGAGCAACGTGATATCGCGATAACGATATTGATTCGATATATCGTGCACCCCTAACATTGATGCAAATTTCACGATTCAATTTGATTTTGATTCACAAGTTTCTGATTCAGTTAACCCTGATTTTTAAACTTCAATATTATCATAATATTGAAGTTTAAAATTAACCTATTTATTTGTATAGACAAATGTTTTTCAGTTTTTAAACTTGTTTTCACGACAGTTCTATTCAAACATAGATATTAAGGCTGCATTTACACTGCAGGTCTTGATGCCCAAATCCGATTTTCTGACTATCCGTTTTTTTTTTTTTTTTTTTGACGACCTGCTTACATCATCTTTTAAAAGTGACCCATATCCGATTTTTGCATTCACACTATACACTGCTGAAACTACCAAATGCAGATGTTCTGATGGTTCTGAACTGAGAAAAATTAAGCAAAACAGCACGAAATTCAATGGATGCAGATGCGAATAAAATTATCCAGTGTTTTTTCTTTCCGCAATATTTCAATAAGTCATCGAAACATTGGTCTCGTACGGCGGAGAAAAAAAGAGGAGGGGCTCTGGCCATGAGCACTTAAAACGATGCCTCATATCTCGTGAAATGTCTTCAAAAACGGTTTTATTTCTGTAACAATCCTGCATTTTTGCCTGCACTCTTCACCCCAAACACTCAAAAGACATGAAACCTCCGCATTGCTCCACTGTGTGTATCCTTTCTTCCATCGCGCCTATAATCGCGCAGTTTTTAATGACGCATGACTCTCATTTACAGGGGAATATCCGATTTGTCTGCTTACATGGCACACGCAAATGCACGTATCTGATTCATTTCCGATTTATTACCACATCTCAGATCTCAGAAAATCGGAATCCATAAGTTTTTTTTTTTTTTTTTTTTTTTTTTTTTTTTTTTTTTCCTGCTTACACGTTCTCCGGTCATATCCGACCTGTGCCACATGAGAGGAATGAAAACGGTTTTGGGTCACTTGAACCATGCAGTTAAATGACAGGTTATGTGTGAGTGGAATATGTAATATGATGCACATATTTAATTTTTCTAGCTGAATGTTTATGAAAGGCTTCTGAGGTAAATGTTACATTGTTTACAAGCTGTTTTGATGCATTTTTAAGGTTGAAACACGGAGCGATTACATGATACATTTCATTATCTTCTGTGGTTTCTTTCAACATACCTTCTGATGTTCATTAGCGTTTTTCATGCTGCAACTAATGAAGGGGAAAAGATTGATTCACCTGTGCTCTGTCACGCCAAATTAGATGGCATCAAAATGGTATTTAATGATTAAATTTCGTAATAAAATTGCCGCAGTTGGAAAATTGAGACCTGTTTCATGTTAAAATTGAAAGCGCAAAGATTATTGCAATGATTGGATGGGAGGTGCAATACAAGTAATGTTTAGGGAAGTTTTGTGGATGTATCAACTGAAAACAGCACAGACTAAAATATTCTTGGGATTTAATAATCAATATCTGTTCATCCAAATGGGAATCCATTCAAATTGAGAGATGGGTGTTTTCAACCCAGACCCAATATGGATTTTTAATGTCTGGAAGGAAGCAAAATTGAATGTGATTTAGGAAGTTTACTTTGAATCACACACACTCTCACTACTCTTCCTCCACAGGCGAATATTCTCAGCAGTATGGGAAAGTGAAGCATTTGAGCATTGATGACTGAAGAGGAGCGTTTGAGCGCTTGTGCTTTGAGTTTTTTTTAAAGATGTTTTACACCCATTTTATGTGTATTTTGTGTACATTTGTCTTTTTTGTTTTTCTTTTTTTTGGGGGGGGGGGGTCAAGTTTATGTATACTTGACTGCTATTTTCCTTTTTTTTTTTTTTCTGATTCCTGTATGCCATATTCCAGTTTTCCCTTTAGTATTTAACTTTTTTTTTCTTTTTTTAAATGAACATACTTCATTTATCATGTGGTACTAAATAAATGCCACCAAAGAAGCTCAGTTTTATTTCACTTGTCAAATGTCTGTATTACCTGAAATGGTTTAGTTTTGTGAACCACTGCAGTATTGGTATTCTCAAAAACATCCTTTAACAGAGCTATAATTTTAAGATCAGTGTGAGTGGCCAGTGTACACATTAGCAAATCTGCAGAGGCGCCATGCACATTCAAACTCAGGCTATTTTTGATCTGCAACTTCCAAAAGATGTAAAATGTTTTTAGTTTTGTTAATTAACCCTTTTGTCTGACAAACTAGACTGGAAAGTGATGCACTTTGTAAAGGCTCAATTTTACTCACTAAAATTATAGGTTGAAGATAAACTTATTAGCCTGTGTGCCAAGGACTTTTTGCATGCGCTTCCAAACATATTTATACGGTGCTGTTTAGTTTTACTTTTTCCAGTGTGGATGATTTAAAGAAATTTAGTTCTGTAAACTAAAGAATGTGGAAGACAATCAATGCAAGGTTTATAGTCTTAAAATTCTGTAATGGCAACAGTACAAAGGCCTTTAAGTATGAGTTTGTGATTCAAAACTCTTATTTCAGTAAAAGCTGAAAACTTTATATAAAAAAAAATGAAATGGTGTTCTCAAGCTAAACTGCAGGACGGAGACTCCAGGAGCTCTGTAAGTATGTTTATCTTCATTTTTGGCACTTAATAGTTTTAAAACTTAAACTTATGAATCTGTAAAAAAATGACTTGTCAAATTGGTTTTATGCAGTGTAATTATATTCGTTAATTTGCTGCCTACATGGCCATATGCTCTTTGAGGGCTCTGAATGTCCTTGACTTGTCAACCCGTATTTGGATTTTCAACTGAAAGTGAATGTAAATCATTTGTTGGTGAGTGTATGTGTCTGCTCTTCTCTGCCTGCAGTCAACACTGCTTATTTATTACTCGAGAGACGCAATCCTTTAACCAGCTTGACAGACCAGACCAGCCAATCACACAACTGTATGACAAGACCACAGCGTAAATTCACTTTCATGTTTTCATTGTGACGCTTGTAGCCCTTTTTTACAAGAAGAAAGGAAAATTGACGATGACCGCTTCGATCACATACAATGAAAGAATTTACAAAAAGACAATTATTTCAAGTTAAATTCACTTATCTATTTCTGGAAGCTTTTACTTTTTAGGGTTGCCTTTCACATTTAATGTTCATATGTATTTATAATCACTGAGTTATACAAGTTATCTGCATAATTTTCATATTATGTGGAACTGCTAATGTTTATCACAAAAAAAACTGTATAGTTTACAGTAAAAATACAGTGACAACACACTGTTGCAGGGTGGCTTCTGGGTTGTATATTTTACTGTTCATAATATATTTCTTTAAGTAATATAATTTTAATATACCGAACTACTTAAAGCTGAATAAACTGTAAAGTTATTAGTATTTTTCAGTTCCAAAACAACAATTTTTACTGTATTTCACAGTAACCAATATCATGAAAATTGTATAATTTAGCAATAACTTATTGTATTTAAAAATCTTTATTTTTTAAAAGTATTAAAATACTTTTTACAATCTATTTACATAATAAAATAAGTAGTCAAATACAGTATTGGGAGAACATATTGTATTTTTGCAGTTTTAGTTCTTAAATTGTAGTTTCAGCAATAAATTAGTAATTTAAAAGTTTTTTTTTTTTTAATGTATTTCAGTTACAAAAAAACAATTTTAACAGTATTTCACAAAGCACAGTTAAAGGAGTAGTTCACTTTAAAAAAAAAAAAAAAAAACTTTTGCTGATAATTTACTCACCCCCATGTTATTCAAGTTGTCCACGTCTTTCTTTCTTCAGTTGAAAAGAAATTTAGGTTTTCGATGAAAACATTCCAGGATTTTTCTACATATAATGGACTTCAATGGGAACCAAATGGTTCAAGGTCCAAAAGACAGTTTCAGTGCAGATTCAAAGTGCTTTAAACGACACCAGACAATGAATAAGGGTCTTATCTATAGTGAAACGATCAGTAAGTTAAGTTTTATAAGCACAAATGCTCGCCTTGCTCTGTTCTGTGAATGCGGGTTTCGTGACTCTCCTGTTCAAACTCATTCATCAAAATGAACAAATCTTTTTTCGAGTCATGACTCGAAGGGTCCTAGATAAGACCCTTATCCACCGTCTGGTGTCGTTTAAAGCCCTTTGAATCTTTCTTTTGGACCTTAAACAACCGTTTGGTTCCCGATGAAGTCCATTATATGGAGAAAAATCCTGGAATGTTTTCGTCAAAAACCATAATTTCTTTTCAACTGAAGAAAGAATGACATGGATATCTTGGATGACATGGGGGTGAGTAAATTATCAGCAAAAGTTTTTTTAAAAGTGAACTACTCGTTTAAGTATTTTGTTAAATATATTTAACAAGGCAGTACATTTAAATGTATTGTAAAATATATTTTTGATACCAAAAGTGTTTTTTTTTTGTAACACTCGTTGAGGGGTGTATAATTATTTGAATGCACATTAATTATACCTTAATTCACATTATAATGTATTGTATGGTCTCAAATAATTGCTACCACAGTTTTGATTTATAAAACGTGTCTAGTCGATTTATTGAACGCACACTTGAAAATAAGTATAATGCATTAAAACAAAAGACAAACAATCCATTTAAGATGTAAAATGTAAAGGTTAATACTTTTTAACTTCGGTTGCCTTTATTTATGAAAATGCATTATAATTTTATAATGCATAATAAAACACCTTTATAATGCATTTTTATACATGTTTTATCACATTTTTTTCTTTTACGGTTCTTATTTTTAAGGGTCAAATAAGCTAATTCTTTGTTTTACTGAGTAATAGATATTGCAAAGCCGACATATTTTGTAGAAATGCTTGTTAATTGTAGTGTGTAGCAAGGGCACTCTAATATAACCTATGATTAGAAAACTAAAGCCTATAATCTGCCACAATGTGTCACTCATCCACTAGTGTTTTTCATCACAGGGGTTTCCAATGCGCACAGTTCGAGTAGTTTACTCATTTCACGTCGTCTTCCGTGTACCGTCCAGTGTGTGTGAGCCTGCAGACCTGAGAGGATCCCGAGACAACACACGCTCTGATAGATAGACAACACCTTCACGCGCTCGTTTCTTTTCACGTGCAGAACGACGATTAAATGCCACGCTGGAATATCGAATTGTCTTTAGAATCGCGCTCGCGAGTGTTTTATGCAAATGCGTACGTGCGAGTCCAATCATACATTGGCTTGAATAGCGCGGTCTAAGGTAGGTGTTTATTTATACTATATATGTAAGTTATATGTCAAAATTAACATGTGAATGCCTTTTCATTTTCTGAAGGGCACACAAATAAACAAAGGGTTTCCCCAATCTGGATAGGCACCTGTGTTATCGGATGGATGAGGACAAAGAATGTTGTTCTCATAGAAATGAGGACTTTCTAATGTTTAACACTGTCCGTCGTTATTTATTCGTCAATATAGCGTGTACATTTACCATGGACTAAATTATATCAACACTCTTTTGGGGTTTTTTTTTTTACATACTCTCTCTCTCTCTCTCTCTCTCTCTCTCTCTCTCTCTCTCTCTCTCTCTCTCTCTCTCTATCTCTCTATCCCTCCATATGTCTCCTATTTTCCCCACGGCTTTGTTTATTTGCCCTCATGTTCTCTGCGCGTATTCTTTTGAGCATCCTGTAATTATTTTTCACTAACACCAGTAGGCCTAAGCTATTTTCTGCGCGAAATGTATTATCCTTTGTTTAATAGTCATATTCAGTCTTATTAATGCTGTTATCATTAAATAAATATGTCAAAGATATTCAAATCTTTCGACAGAATAAGGATTAATCCTGCTGTAAAAATGTTATTGGTAATTGGGGTCAGTTTTTCATGACCTACATTTCTAGGTTAAAGGGTTAAAATGAGATAAACAACAAGCATGCATGTTAATGAGCGAACCATATTGAGAGGATGATGAAAACGGTATTTTAACAAAGCAGACAAGGCTCTTTTGTGGGAAAAAATATTGGACTCAGATGCTGGGTCCTGCAGGATGTGATTTGAAGTCAGATGGTGTGTGTGTGTGTGTGTGTGTGTGTGTGTGTGTGTGTGTGTGTGTGTGTGTGTTGATGACACCATGTGCCGAAGTGTGAGCTTGCATCTCATCATGCTTTTCCATGCAGCAGATGTTAATGAGATTCATAAAATCAATCTTGTTTGTCACAAATGTTCTCCAGTTTTAGCCACACCATCTGAACATCAACACAACACTGGCCACCTTTGCAAGCTCAGTCGTCTCTATGGAAACAGAGTACCATCAGGCGTCGTTGGGATCTCTGGTTTGTACCCAAGACGGGGAGGCCATGAGCTGCCAGACCCCGGGCCCTGTTACATATCAGCCGGGGACCACCGTAGCGGGATCGGACTCCTTCCCATGTCTGCGCCCCCTCACGTTCCCCCAGCAGTCCATTGAGGAGGCACGTTGCTCTGGTGAGGTCATCGTTATGGTCAAGGATAAAACAGAGAGTGGTAAATCATCATTTCATCAATACTATGTCGTTTTGGAAGGGTTTTGTGGAGGAGCTAAGAATCGATAAGAAAGCATCTCCCTTGCCTCCAGGAAGAACACATTGGGGACTTTCAGGTCCTGCTGTGCCAATCACATTACAGTGATTTGCATACAGCAATCAGTATAATGACTTTAAAAATGGCATGTAATTAAATAGGCAAACAATAGAGATGAGTTAAAATGAGTTTTTTTCTAATCATATATATACTTTCTAACAAACCATTATAATTTTTATTTCAAGGGCTAAATATAAATATTTATTAATATTTTTAATTAGCTTTTATTTGAATCATTTCAGTCTACACTTTCATTTTTCAGCACACAAAATTGTCATTATTTTCTTATATGCTTGTTGGTTTTATTCGTTTTTATTGTATACTAAATGAGACGAGGGTGTAGAGTTACATTCAAGCTTAGCTATTTTAAGGCATTACAGATTTTTCTTTTTTTTTACAGAATTTTTTTTTAAATAAGTCCTTTTGCCGATCAAAAAATAAAATTATTGACTTCAGGGGGACTTTTTTTATTTCAGTTTTAGTAAATAGTAATTTAGTAACTTTGCTAAGGCAACATTTCTAATTCTCATTTGTTTTTCAAGTTTACATTCTCAACTATATTTTAATTCTGTTTCTTTTTTAATCAACGAAAAATATTTTTAATACTCTTAACACTGAACCAGATCAATGTGAAATACAAATATAGCTGTCACATATTACACATCCCTGTTTCAGGTCTAGGAGTTGTTGAGGTGTGTTTTCTTCACATTCAGTGTTTTTACAGCTGACTTGTATCTTTTTAAATCGAAAACCACTTAATTAGCAACACATTCACAAATCCTCAATTCTAAGACAGCTAATAGAGATATCTGACAGCTACAGGTCACTACAGAGGCACTATTACCATAAATAGACAGACCTAGAATAGAATATTATAAATCAGCTTACATAACCAATCAAAAAGAACTATTACACTACAGGCGGACTTTCTGTTCCCACATTTTAAATCTGGGGCTTTTTTTTTTTTTTTTTTTTTTTTTATCATATTTGCTCTAAAGCTCTTATTTTCTGATCCTGGTTATACAAAATAAATATATGATGCATCATTTCAAGATTTAATGAGCAAATAGCTTTTAAAAATGTAGCAGAGGCACTGCAAATCCAAATATTGTAAATAATGCATTGTAAATCTGGTTGTTTGTTGACTAAACAATGACTGAGGCCGAGAGGAGAGTGGACAAGCACGGCATCTCTTCTCCAGCGTTATGTTGTTTACTGTGGCTTGGTGATGCTCTGAGTTCGTTTAAGGTTAAGAGATGCCAAATATTTCCCTTCTTTTTACAGTTGCTGAGTGTGTCGTAAATACTCTTAATTAAATTAAAGTTGTGCATCCTAATCAAAACTGCCAACGGGGCTTCCTAGCAGGAGGCATGACAGAGATTAGTGAATTAATTGCATTGGTGGCCATTTAATTAAAGTTGGTTTCAAGAGCACGGCAGCAACACACATCACATTTCATTTTGGAGGGAAACATGGTGAGACAAACAATAATGATGACAGACAGATACAAAAAAAAAGAAAATGATGGTCTCTCTTAGTAATTATTTGAATATTAAATGTGCACATTATATAAAATGATTGTCCTATTATATACTACCAATTAAAAGTTTGGAATCATTAAGATTAACTATTGATAATGTTTTTATTATTAACAGTAGTTAAGATTTTTATGGAATCCAAGATAATTTTGGTTTCGGAATTCTATAAATGAATACATTGTTTATTTGAAGTAGAAATCTTTTGTAACATTATAAATGCATCCACTGTCACCTTTTATTCAATTGAATGCATCCTTACTGAATTAAAGTGTTTTACCAATACTTACTTACCCAAACTGTTAGTAGTAAATCATGGTTTCCACAAAATATTAAGCAGCACAACTGTTTTCACCATTGATAATAATGTTTCTTGAGCAGCAAAACATCATATAAGACTGATTTCTGAAGGATCATGTGACACTGAAGACTGTAGAAATGATGCTGAAAATTCAGCTTTGATCAGTAATAAGTTACATTTTATATTATATTCAAATAGAAATGAGTTATTTTGAATTGATTGAATATGACTGTTTTACTATAATTTGAATCAAACAAAAGCAGTCTTGTTGAGCATAAGGGACTTATTTCAAAAGCATAAAGAAATCGTAATTATTTCAAACTACATTAGCGGTAGTGTATGCATTCTCTAACATTGGCAAGTCACTAATTAAATGACCAGTTTTATTATTTTTGTTCGCTTACATCCTCTCTTTATTTTGGCAGGTGATGGGATTTGTTCCCCGAACAATGCTTTTGCATCCAAACCAATTCTCTCCTCTCCTCCTCGCCGGCATCATTCTGTTCCTAATTCACACCATCCACATGTGGGCCGCACTCGGATGGGCAGCCGCTCCAGCTCCATCGCTTACACGGCGTTCTCCCCGCGGCCCTCAATCTCACGCCACTCCAGCATCGCCACCAACCCCCCGATGGACCGCTCCAAACCCAAAGACTACCTCGTCCTCGCTGTCATCGCCTGCTTCTGCCCGGTCTGGCCAATCAACATTGTGGGATTTGTTTACTCCATCATGGTATGTAGAACTTGTAGGGCCTTTTGGTTCATTCTGCAGGATGTCATTTGTGTCCCTCGCATACTTCATTTTAAAAATGAATAGATGCTCACCAGCCACTGTAGCTTGGTTAAAGGGATACTCCACTTTTTTTGGAAATAGGCTCATTTTACAACTCCCCCAGAGTTAAACTGTTGAGTTTTACCTTTTTTGAATCCATTCAGCCGATCTCCGGTTCTGGCGGTACCACTTTTAGCATAGCTTAGCATACATCATTGAAGTGCACAAGACCATTAGCATTTCTCCCAAAAAAATTACCAAAGTGTTTCGATATTTTTCCTATTTAAAACTTGACTCTTCTGTAGTTACATCGTGCACTAAGACAGACGGAAAATGTAAAGTTGCGATTTTCTAATCTGATATGACTAGGAACTATACTCTCATTCCTGCGTAATAATCAAGAAACTTTACTGCCGTACCATGAGTGCAGCAGGCGCGATCAGTGTTGGGAGTAACGCATTACAAAAGTAATACATTACAGTAACATATTACTTTTTGCTGTAACGCAGTAGTGTAAGGCATTACTAAACAATTTTCAGTAATATTTTACTCGTTACATGTTCAGTGAGGCTTGTATTACAGTTGTATTACAGTGTATTGTCTGCTTTCACTTCTTAAAGGCAACAGACTATGTGAAAGTTTTAAAGCAGTCTTTTAGTGCCAGTTCAGAGCGGTCGCGTCTGTAACATTGTTTTTTCCTCATAAATGCGAACACGAAAACTAAAATAAAATAAATATTTTAAGTTCTATGGAGACTGGAGAGCCAACCCTTCCTCATCCGATTTGCGCAGTGTAATTAACAGAATTACAAAAAATATATTTTGCCTCCTATTTTTTTGTCACGCATGAATGTGTGTCTTTTCCCTAATATTAAAAATAAAACATAGACTGATATTTGTCTAATGTCTGGAGTCCTTTAAGGAAGTAGCCTATATACGTTTCATGAATTTTCTGAGAATTTGCAACTATGCAGATAACGACGGAACTTGCGACCATAGTTGGCTAACGATGCTTTCGGGAAACGCACCCCAGAGCGATGAAGGAGATTATGTATGCAGAGCAAGTGTTGTTCTTTGCTCGGTTTTTAACAAAAAGGAAACGTTCAAATCGCTTAAAACAGACGCGATAGCTGATTCAATCGAGTGATGTTCGACGGCGGCATCCATCTTTGTAATGTAGGCTACAAAATATGCTTCAAAATCCCAGCGCTGTCATCATCGTGTAAAGCCCGCCCCAACGTTTCTGATTGGTGCCGCGATTTTGAAGGATTGGAAATTTGCTTGAATGAGTTCTTTGCCAGACTAACTTTCAGAGCAAATCTAAATTTGCTGGAAGTTGTCTGGGTTTTCCCAGGCTACACCCACTGTGGCTAGTGGTTTTCCAAAGTTATTAGCCGCTCAGCATTTTCACTGGGCACAAATTTTGACATTGACACCATGGAGAAAAACTGCCATCTAGATTTAGCATTATCTCATAATTGGGTAGCAGGTATATTAGGCTGCTGTCACTTTAGGGGCTTTGGGCACCAGGTAGTTCTTTTAATATTGTTATTTTCATATTTTAAACATTTTTTTAAATAAAAATGTGTTAATATGAATATTTTACCAAACATATAGAGAAAGAGATCCAGGTTAAAATTTTATTTGATTTTTTTGGTCTTTCCCTAGCCAAGTCTCCTTGTTTATTAGTAAACATACACATTTTAATAATAATAAAAATACAGTATATGGAGCTGCGAGCATTTTGTCTTTATTCTTTCTTATTTTTCAGTTTAAGTAGTTCAGTTAAGTAGTTGTTACCATCAAATATTCCATTTTAAAGTTTGAACGATTCCATAAATAAATATGTAATAGCATCAAGTCACAATATTTAATGTTTTGTCAGTAATACTGTCAGTATGGAGAAAGTTAACCCTGTGACCATGATTTTTTATTGTAAACAGCTGACAATTAGAGTATTATTGAAGTATTATTGGATATTTACTGATATATAATTCTATAAAACTTGAGCACAAGACTTATAATATCAATCCTGTTACTGTTCTGAAGGAATAATTATATTCTAACTAGGGCTGTGAAACGATTAATCGTGATTAGTCTGTGTTTGTTAGTTTGTGTTTACTTAATATATGTGTGTGAACTGTGTATTACTATATAATTATTTTGTATATACACATACATACGCATGTATATATTTAAAAAAATATTTGCTTATATACACTGTATATACAGTATATTTATATATATGTAAGTATATATTTATATACTGTATATATGTGTCACAGTCTGCGTCTGCACCATCCCGTCTGCGTCTCCTTCACTACACTTCCCATGATCCTCTCGTCTGCACACCTGAACTCACTCCCTCATCAGCCTCCCGTTCAGCGTCCTGTTCATCTGTTTCACCTGTCTTCACCTCATTATGTCTGATTCCTCTGTGTATTTAGTTCCCTCTGTTTCATTCTGTTTTGTCGGTCAATGTTCCATGTTACGCTGTATACCCCGTCTTCCTGCCTGTTTGTGAATAAAATGTCTCTTTATCGAGATTTGGACTCAGCCTGTCCTTCTGCCTGAACCCGCACCGTGACAGATTGACCGACCCCAAAAAGGGAAAATATGGATTTAGCCGCTGTACAGCTTCTCCTCCTGGAGCAGGAGGATCAATCCCTCGAGGCCCACACACAGAGGTATTTGGATTTGGTACCTCATGTTCACTATGATGTTACCAGCCTCTGTGTGTTCTTCCGGGCAGGCCTAAATGCTGAAACCCAGGCACGCCTGCCCGGAGACGGGCCTCGAGGGGACTTTGCGGCCTATGTGGAGTGGGTGCTGGTGTCATGTGGATCTCCCTTTACCATGTATGACGTCACCAGCCCCACTCCATCGCTCGAATGCTCTTCGCCGCTGGTTCCGTCCAGCTCTCCAGAGACTGAATGCTCTTCACCGCTGGTTCCGTCCAGCTCTCCAGAGACTGAATGCTCTTCACTGCTGGTTCCGTCCAGCCCTCCAAAGACTGTATGCTCTTCACTGCTGGTTCCGTCCAGCTCTCCAGAGACCGTCCAGCCTGCCCCCGTGACCGTCCAGCCAGCGCCAGAGACCGTCCAGCCAAAGCCCGAGACCGTCCAGCCAGAGCCCGAGACCGTCCAGCCAGCGCCAGAGACCGTCCAGCCTGCGCCCGAGACCGTCCAGCCAGAGCCCGAGACCGTCCAGCCAGAGCCCGAGACCGTCCAGCCAGAGCCCGAGACCGTCCAGCCAGCGCCAGAGACCAGGATCCCACCCAGCCTCCCTCTCCCGCCTCCTCTCATCTGTCCTCCCTCTGCTCTCCTGCCCTTCAGCTCCCCGAAACCAGCCTGGTCTGTGTATTCCCGGTCTTCGCCTCACACCTCCTCCTCTGAGACACTTCCTTGGCCCCCGGTCCCATCGGCTCCCCCGTGGCTGCTACCTCCCTCAGCTCCTCCATGGTCCCACAGTCCACCAGCTCGGCCAGGCTCCCTCGTCCCTCCGAATTCCCTTCACTCCCTCGTCATCCTCCCCTCACCTATGGACTTCCTTACTTTGGCTCCGCCCCGTTTTGTCACCCCTTCGGTTCAGTTGGACTCCTCACTCCCTCCAGTCACCCGTCAGCCCTCACGCCCTCTGACCTCACCGTGTCCCTCTGTGCCCCTGTCAGCACTTCAGTCACCAGAGCCTGCGGTGTCCCCTTGTTCCCTCGGTCCCTCCTCAGCACCCATTGTCGTCGGTCCCTCAGCTGCACCCTGGTCTCCTCTCCCATCCGCTCCGCCCCTGTCAGTCGGCCCCCTGGTGTTGTCAGCCCCACTACCATCGGCTCCACCAGGGGTCCTCCCTCCAGCTGCTCCGCCCTGGTCTCGCCCTCAGCCTGCGCCGCCCTGGTCTCGCCCTCAGCCTGCGCCGCCCTGGTCTCGCCCTCAGTCTGCTCCGCCCTGGCCACGCCCTCAGCCTGCTCCGCCCTGGCCACACCTTCAGCCTGCTCCGCCACGCCCTCAGCCTGCTCCGCCCTGGCCACGCCCCGCTCAGCCCCCAGTTCGTCCCCCCTCCTTCCTCTGTTCTGCGGCGTGAGGTCACGCCTCCCGGGAGGGGGGAGTTCTGTCACAGTCTGCGTCTGCACCATCCCGTCTGCGTCTCCTTCACTACACTTCCCATGATCCTCTCGTCTGCACACCTGAACTCACTCCCTCATCAGCCTCCCGTTCAGCGTCCTGTTCATCTGTTTCACCTGTCTTCACCTCATTATGTCTGATTCCTCTGTGTATTTAGTTCCCTCTGTTTCATTCTGTTTTGTCGGTCAATGTTCCATGTTACGCTGTATACCCCGTCTTCCTGCCTGTTTGTGAATAAAATGTCTCTTTATCGAGATTTGGACTCAGCCTGTCCTTCTGCCTGAACCCGCACCGTGACAATATGTTTATATATTTATATTTTATATATATAATTTTTACTATACATAAATATTTTATATATAAATAACAATTTTTTCTTAAAATATATGTGCGTATTTATATAATTATACACAGTTCACACACATATATTATGTAAACACAAACTTTTATTTTGGATGTGATTAATCGCGATTTTTTAAATAATTTTAATAATGAAATTAAAGGTCCAAAAGAAATCTAATCGTACAAAAACGACTTTATCAAAAAAGTAAAGGCATCCGCTTCATTACATGATCACTTTTCTTTATGTAATAATATCAAATGGAGATGCAAAATGATCATTTTCCCTCAGTATACCGGACCGAATTTTTAATTGTGTGTTGCAATAAGTGAGATGAGACTTTAATGGAACGGTGTCATGTTCTGTTAGTCACGGAACAGTCTGGAGCAGGGGAACGTAGACGGAGCCAGACGCTTGGGTCGCGTGGCGAAACTGCTTTCTGTGGTCTCACTGGTGGGCGGAGCGCTCATCATCATAGCATGCGCCGTCAATCTGTCAAGTAAGCGATCTCTAACCTCTCATCCCTCATGGGTCTTTCTCCACACTCACTCGCAACGCATTCTCACCCCAAGGCGTCACCTTTGACCATGCTTCAATATTTGACGTTTTAGGCACCCTTTAGCGTCACTTACATGACGCGATCCTATGGCGTCATCTAACTGACGCTAAAGGAAAGCGTCAGTTAGAGGACGCGGTTAGGTTTAGGTGTGGGGTGGGGGTAGGGTACACGCGATCCTAGGGCGTCATCTAACTGACGCTAAAGGGCGCCTAAAGCGTCAGATATTGAAGCATGTCCAAATGCTTCCCAAGGCGTCAGTTAAGTGACGCCTTGGGAGTGAGAATGGGTTGTCACTCGACATGAAATATGCACTTCAATGCTGGATATTAAAGCATTCTATCTCAGAATCCCAACTCTATTCATAGGACATCTAAGTAGGTCAAGAACCAGAGAATCCTTTGTATCTAGAGATTTTCTTCTCTCTGTTCTTCTGAAGTGTTTAAATACTTCATTTTTTTTTCCCAAAGGACATTTTGCTCTAGTGTTAGGAAAATTTCTACAAGGCTATAGATGATTAGGAGACCTTTACAGTTAACACAGATTATTTGTAATCACTTGAATAATGAATGATATAAGGCAGATGTAAAGAAGTCACAGTTGCAAACACTCTTAACGTCAATGAAGCGGCACTCGCCACAACCCATTTACTTGCAATATGTGACGCATTTCAGAGTGAACAGGATTTTCAGTTAAAAAATAGGACAGGACTGGATTTAATCCAATGAGAATTGATTGGATTATATAAAGTGAGTGTTGCATATGAAATATATTACATAAGAGAAGGGACATCAATGAAAAGTATATGTGTATTTATTTATTTAAAAATCTATTACAAAGGATTTGTTCAGTATCAACCCTGTTACCATGATTTTGAATAGTAAACAACTATTATTGTTATTGGATATTTACTGAGGTATTGTTTTTATTTTTTAGTAAACGAACACACACACACATACACTACCTGTCAAAAGTTTTAGATCAGTAAGATTTTTTTAAATGAAGTCTCTTCTGCTCACCAAGGCTGCTTGACAAACAGTAATATTGTGACAATAAAATGACTGTTTTCTATTTTGATATATTTTAAAATGTAATTTGAAAGCTGAATTTTCAACATCATTGCTGTTGCTGATTACACATCAGTTTTCAGTGTCACGTGATCCTTCAGAAATCATTCTAATATGCTGATTTTATGCTCAAAAAACATGAATTATTATTTTCAATGTTGAAAACAGTCGTGTACCATTTCCCCCCCAAAATTCTATGATGAATATAAAGTTCAAAAGAACAGCATTTATTTAAAATATAATCTTTTTTCTAACGTTATAAATGTCTTTACTGTAACTTTTGATCAATTTAACTCATCCTTGATGAATAACAGTATTTTCTAATTTCTTTTACAAAAAGAAATTCTGTTACAAAAGCTTTCCATTTCAGATCAATTCTGTTCTTTTGAACTTTCTATTCATCAAAGAATCCTGAAATAAAAATGTAAAAAAACTGTTTTCAACATGGATAATAATCATAAATGTTTCTCGAGCATCATATTATAATAATTTCTGCAGGATCATGTGACACTGAAGACTGGAGTAACGATACTGTAAATTCAGCTTTGAACACTGGAATAAATTACACTTCACTATATATTCACATAGAAAACCACTGTTTTAAATTGTAATAATATTTCACAATATCATTATTTTTTTTTTGTATTTTTTATCAAATAATTGCAGCCTTGGTGAGCAGAAGAGGCTTATTTTAAAAACATAAAAAATCTTACCGATCTAAAACTTTTAACCGGTAGTGTGTGTATATATATATATATATATATATATATATATATACACTGTGTATATAGATTTACTGATGTCAGATGCAGATTTAGTTTGGACACCCTTGACTGAATTAATGTTTCCACATTATGACATGAATTTCTTTGCAAAACTACATTACCGCTCAAAAGTTTGGGGCCAGGAAGATTGTAAGGATTACAAAGAAGACAACAAGTATCCAGCTTTGATTACAATAATAAACTACATATTCAAATAGAGAACACTTATTTTAAAATTGCAAAATCCTGCATTTTTGATCAAAGAAATGCTGCCTTGTTGAGCCGACCACCAACTTTTGAACAGTAGCATACTGTTAGTGTAGTGCAGGGGTTCTCAACTCCAGTCCTCGCGACCCACTGCTCTGCATATTGTGTATGTCTCCCTTATTTAACACACCTGATTCAGATCCTCAGCTCGTTAGGATAGCCGTAGAGTCTATCTTAACGAGCTGAGGATCTGAATCAGGTGTGTTAAGTAAGGGAGACATACACAATATGCAGAGCAGTGGGTCGTGAGGACTGGAGTTGAGAACCCCTGGTGTAGTGTGCTTTTATGTGCTGTTTTTTTTACATTAACATTAATGCGGTAACATGATTTATCTGTGATTTTCAGTCAATATAAAATCCTGAGAGAGTTGAGCGTGCCATGGAATTCAGCTTCGCATCAGACCACTGACCCGGACGCCACGGCCCATTTGTTTTGCCCCACCGCTGCTGTGACGGCAATCACATCTCAGAGAGCAATCAATCATCAGATGTCTTTGTTTTCTGAAAGAACCCTTGATAATCTGCCCATACATGCCATCCTTCACACAGATGGCGCAGGATGCTTTCACTGAAGTCTCACACGGCACTTACTCAGAGGTGTATGGTGCACTTCATGGGTAACAGCTCTCACACCTAAACATGAAACAATATGGCTCAACAATATGTGTAAAGACTGGATGTACTACTCACAAGCTGTTGTACAGGAGAATTGCTGGTAAAGCAGAAGTATTTTCCTCCTCCAGAAGCAGAAAATAGGCCAAATCAATATACAGACGTGGGTTTGTCTGATTATTCCCTTCCAGTATATCCAGTGAGAATGACGCGCCAATTGTTCTGAAGATTTCACTGTGGACGTCCTCGGTCGTGAGCTGGAGTCACATCATTATATCAAAGACACGCTTGATTCGATATGTTCTGCTTTCAAAACCTCAGAGAACCGTCGAGAAGATCACCTGTGAGTAAAGAGGGGAGATATCTTAGTAACAAGAGTCAATGTCATTTTATACTGTAAATCAGAACTTTTAAAAAAGTAAGGAAAAATGTTTGATTTCTTTTCTGACATACATTCGGAGTTTTAAATCCTGATACAGTTCATTTCATTATTGTTCAATATTTTCACTTTATCAAATGACTTGTTTTTTGTCATTTGACCAAGAAACTTTTGACTGTTCTTGGTCATGACTTGTAGTCATGCATAGACAAAATGTAGCTAATAATGTTTTGGTAAATCCAAAATTAGAATTTGCAACATCCTCACCCCTTTTGATAAAGCAATATGCAAGCACTCACTGGCAAGAAAGATTTTCATCACATGGTTAAAAGTGTTTCTGGAAGTAATAATCTTTATGATTTATGAAACACACTGTATTTGCTGCAAACCTTTGTATTGAACTGTGTTGTAGTTTGATTTACAAACACTGTGTAATCTGAAATATCTGTAGCTAAATGTAGCCGAATCACAACTGAACCTTGCAATATAAGAGTTGTATTAACGAACTTTCCTGTAGATCCAAAAGGGGACATTTGGCCGGTAATAGAAGCTTGTGGGGTTCTGGAAGCGTAAAATGGAGTTGTATATAAAAAGGAGTGTAAAGTGGGACATTGGATTTGTAACAATGGTGGTCAATATCATCATTTTCTGGTTGTGAATGGATGTAGCTTGTGAATTTGACTTCTATTTAGATTCAGTGGTATTGCATATGCTAGACTATAAAATTTGTGATGTGTGAATAATTATATTTACGGTTGGTCCTGTAGGTTAAATCCATGTCTTTCTATCTTTTTTATATTTATTTTTAATACAGCTTTTTTTCCTAATAACCTTTTTGCACATGGGATTACAGTCTTGTTCGAGTCTGCCCTGTAGAAAGATAAAGAGCTGGAATGTATGAAATATTTAGCTTAAACGTTGTGCACTTATTTTTGCATGCGCCCTTTCTTTATCAAATATTTTGATAGTCTTGTAAGCAGCACTATTTCCCTCTATGTATCCTCCTTTGGGAAACAGAATAAAGGACTGAAAGATGTGAAACGGATGTGAATTCTTGCCGTTGACTGACTACTGGATTGTTTCGTTTTTTATTGTCCTCAATAGTTAGTGGGACTAAGTGAGTTTGAATCTTCTGTTGCCAGGGAAACCATCCGTCTCTATTCAGGTGTGTGAGACATGAGAATTAGACTGGACATATTGAAGACAGCATGGAGAAACAGTGTGAAATTGGAGTTATATATAGGTATTTCGATTTATTTGTGTGATAGATAGATAGATAGATAGATAGATAGATAGATAGATAGATAGATAGATAGATAAAAATGTAGAATAAAAGAACAAACAAGGTCAGAATAAGAGAGTGAGTCAGAGAAATAAAAGATGGCTTCTATTATCCAGCGAAGCGAACACTGAAGGGGTGGAATGAGAAAGTCTCGAGGGAGCAAGAGTAGTAGGCAGCCAGGAGGGAATAGATATTTAATGAGGAACCGCATTCTAGCCTTTAAATCTGCTGTAAACATCTAACGCTGCTTGAATGTTTACACTGAACTGGAGGATCACCGAGCAAAGGAATAAGATTAGTGTGTGAACGACAGATTCATCCCGAGATCACAGCTGCACTCCTGCTAAGCGCTCTGTCTGCGTGTGGACACCCGTCATTCAGTATTTATTACAGTGGAAATACTGGCAGACTCATGAGGGGGAGAAAAGCTTTCTTCAAGCCTTTTCCCTTCTCTCTGGCAGAATCCTGGGTTAGCTGGATTTCGAGGATGGATTTTGCGTCAAGCACTGAATTCACAAATGAATGCTGCAAGAGTAAAGGATTTCTGATAATGAAAATCAAAAAAAGTCTTACGACAACCAAATCCCAGATATACCCAGGGCCCAGATCCTGAAGGATTATTAGGAACACCATACTAACACTGTGTTTGACCCCATTTCGCCCTTCAGAACTGGCTTAATTCTACGTGGCATTGATTCAACAAGGTGCTGAAAGCATTCTTTAGAAATGTTGGCCCATATTGATAGGATAGCATCTTGCAGTTGATGGAGATTTGTGGGATGCACATCCAGGGCACGAAGATCCCGTTCCACCACATCCCAAAGATGCTCTATTGGGTTGAGATCTGGTGACTGTGGGGGCCATTTTAGTACAGTGAACTCATTGTCATGTTCAAGAAACCAATTTGAAATGATTTGAGCGTTGTGACGAGGTGCATTATCTTGCTGTAACTAGCCCTCAGAGGATGGGTACATGGTGGCCTGGTGGACATGGTCAGAAACAATGCTCAGGTAGGGCATGGCATATGAACGATTGGCACTAAGGGGCCTAAAGTGTGCCAAGAAAACATCCCCACACCATTACACCACCACCACCAGCCTGCACAGTGGTAACAAGGCATGTTGGATCCATGTTCTTATTCAGTTTACGCCAAATTCTGATTTTACCATCTGAATGTCTCAACAGAAATAGAGACTCATCAGACCAGGCAACATTTTTCCAGTCTTCAACTTTCCAATTTTGGTGAGATTTTGCAAATTGTAGCCTCTTTTTCCTATTTGTAGTGGAGATGAGTGGTACCCGGTGGGGTCTTCTGCTGTTGTAGCCCACCCGCCTCAAGGTTGTGTGTGTTGTGGCTTCACAAATGCTTTGCTGCATACCTCGGTTGTAACGAGTGGTTATTTCAGTCAAAGTTGCTCTTCTATCAGCTTGAATCAGTCTGCCCATTCTCCTCTGACCTCTAGCATCAACATTTTCGCCCACAGGACTGCCGCATGCTGGATGTTTTTCCCTTTTCACACCATTCTTTGTAAACCCTAGAAATGGTTGTGCGTGAAAATCCCAGAAACTGAGCAGATTGTGAACTGGCACCAACAACCATGCGACGCTCAAAAAAAAAGAAATCACCTTTATTTCCCATTCTGACATTCAGTTTGGAGTTCAGGAGATTGACCAGGACCACACCCCTAAATGCATTGAAGTTACTGCCATGTGATTGGTTGATTAGATAATTGCATTGATGAGAAATTGAAGGGGTGTTCCTAATAAGCCTTTAGGTGAGTATGAGGTCCATGTTGTACTTCTGGAGGACGAGATTGTGTGTGTGTGTGTGTGTGTGTGTATGTGTGTGTGTGTGTGTGTGTGTGTGTGTGTGTGTGTGTGTGTGTGTGTGTGTGTCTTTGAGTGAGTGATAAACAGCTGCATCAGCCTGCTGTGTCATTAGTACAGATTATTGCAGTTGAGTGCAGATGCAGCACTAAAACCCAAACATCATCCCCCGCACAGCAGCAACACTGACCTTGCCAGAACCAACCAACAGGAAAGAAACTAACTTTAAAACATGTCCTCATTTGCCAGCATCACCAGATTAACTGAAACATCTGCTTTTGAAACTAACTGGCATAGCATCAGAGAGGAGTATCAAAAGCATCCCATTGCAAAACGAATCTAAATATAAGCATATCAAAATAGACTCACCTAAATTACTTTTTGTGTTTAATTATTTATTTACCCTTTTTCAACATTTTCACAGAGTAAGATCACAGTTATATTGTAATTTGAATTTTATTTATTTATTTGAGGTATTTGTTTATTAGTCAGGGACCATGCACAGTTCAGCCCCTCTAGTATCTGTGGTCCAAGGAAAATAAAGACAATATGGACAAACATTACTCGCATTAAATTAAAAGTACAGATATATAATACATGTTATGTTTTAAAAAAGGTCAATGATCACATAGTTGATTCTCATTCAGCCAAGTCTTTAAGGACATTTTAAAACTGCTGAGACTTGTACAATCTCTAATATAATGCATGTTGAATTAAGTTTCACATTTCTACTATAGTAAATGAAAAAACTGATTGACTAAATTTAGTCTTCCGAAATTGAGTATAACAGTTACCTCTAACAGAAGCCCTGGTGACCCTATTATCTCTGCGAAATGACAAACATTGAGTGGGGGTGGTGCAAGATCAATTTACGCATCAGGCACATATCAACAAAACTTAAAAAACTGTCGAAGGTTAATAAGTTGAATTTTTTATAATGATACAATGGTGGTAGTTTTTTTTGTTTTTTTTTGTCAAGAACTTTCACAGCTTGTTTGTATGGGTACATAAGGGTTTTAGCTTAGTCCCACCCGCCTGACACCAGCTTGTAGAACAGTAAGAGAGATGTGAAAAAATAATTTTATGTAAAAACAGTTTAGCTGAATCTCTCTCTGACACAGTTGGAGATCTTCTTTGTGTGTTTTTTAAAACTTAAATTAGAGTCAATAAGAAGCCCAGATACTTAAAACCATCAACAATATTTATCACCCCTCCCAAAATACAGATATTGGTCTGATGTTGATAGAGAAATACATGCCCACTGTTTTGCACATTAAGAGTAAGACAGCTAGGTGTTAACCAGTCTGATACTTTGGTCAGGGCTGCAGTAAGTTTTGCTCCAGCTTTTTTGCATGGTAACTGTGTCGTCTGCGTACATTTGGATGCGTGAACTTCTGGGCAAATCGATGGCAAGTCATTAATATTTAAGCTAAATAAAATTGGTCCTAAAATAGATCCCAGAGGGACTCCAGTAGTGCATTTAACAAAGGAGGAGCATCTATAATTAATCCTGGTGCACTGCTTTCTAGAATTTAAATAAGACAACATCCATGTCAGAGCATTGGGAGAGTTTGGATAACAGTACATTATGATTCACTGTATCAAATGCCTTCTTAAAATCCAGCAGCTCCAACCACCCCTCCATTATCAAGGCTGGATTTTATCTGCTCTATAAAATAACAAGTAGCTGTTTCTGTGGTGTGATGTTTCCTGAATCCAAACTGCATAGGGTGCAGTGGAAAATGGCCTTGATTTAAATAGGCTAGCAACTGGTCACAAACTATCCTTTCGATTACTTTGGGAACAACAGGGAGGATGCTAGTTGTTTATATTAGTTGTATCTCCAGCTTTAAAAATAGGAGTTATGACAGCGGGGGGGGGGAAAACTTTGTTCAATGGATAGGTTTACCAGGTGAACAATTGAAGTACAAATGCTTTTATAGCCTACTTCTTCAGAAATGCACAATCATGTGCATTCAAATTAGTTTAAATAAATAACTTGCATAAGCAAACCATTCAAGACTTTATGGTCATTGAATTTATTTGAATTAATACTTAAGTTAAATAATACTTTTATTCAGCAAGGAAGCAAATTGATCAAACGCTGACAATACATTTATAATGCAGATTTAAAACAAATTTTATTCTTTAAAAAATTATCACAGTTTTCATAAAAAATAGCAGCAAAAAAATCAGCTTTGCCATCACAGGAAGAAATTAGCCTACAATTAAAATATTTTAAATGGGTAAACAAATATTTGATGTGAAATTACTGTATTTTCATCAAATAATTGGTGAGCATTAGAGACTTCGTTCAAAAAGTGACCCCAAACTTGTTAGCGGTAGTGTAAACGAAATGGCAATGTGTTTTTATTATTTTTTTGTTGTTATTGTTTACATTTTGTGCCTTATTTGGTTGCGTATAAATATTTTAGGATACGGATTACAATACAGACTGTTTTTATTGTAACACTGCATTTTACATAACTGGTATCAATAGTCTATCTGTGGAAAGATGATAAAACTGCAAGATATTTGTTCAGGTTCACATAACAGAATCAGCGCCATCTGTCTTCCTTCCACCCGACGACAGCGTTCCGGATATGACGCAGGACGCGCAGTATTTGAACTTGTTTTCAATATCACGGAAGTGAAACAGAACCGTTTCCTCATAGATTGATGTTTCTCTACTGCTACACCTAAGCATTCATTCTTGTGCGTGAGTAAATACTTTATTTGCTTTATTCAGATTATTTTGTATAACCCTCAGCCTTAAATCAAGCAGAACTTTCGCTGTTTGCTAATCAATATCCAGTAACGTTAACTGTGCTTTTACTTGGGAGGTTCACGGGTCCTATTCATTTGGATTTTGTTATGGTTCTTTTTTTCACATGAGAAAGCTGAGACATCACTCTAGACATGGCAACGAAGGGGGCAAAGGAGACTCTCGTGAATAAACTGGGCTTTAAAAGCAACAGCTCGAAGTCAGTGGACATGGAGATGGAGAAACTGAAGAGAGAGAATCAGCAGCTGAAGAAAAGTCTGGAGGACATGAAGAGAGCTGGCAGACATCAACACACACATCCAGACACGGACAAAGCCAAACTCCTGGAGGTGAACTCATGCCTGCTTTCATTCTGAAATCTGATGGAGCTTTGCTTAAAATGTCAACAAATAAAAATCAAGATGTCAGTGTTATTCTATAAATGTTTATAGGCTACATAGAGGTAGGGAGATGTAATACTCTCTACGTTTCCTCGTTATGAGGTGAAAGATTATCATCCTGAACATATGATCTCTTTTTAAACTCATTTTTGAATCCCCAGAGGATTCTCTCCCTGGAGACTCAGAGGGAGAGGAACTGTCAGCAGCTGCTGGTGAAGGATCAGGAGGTGTGTGTCCTCAGACAGCAGCTCCGCTCCGCTCACGGGGAGGTGGTGTCTTCACTGCAGAACCAGCTCCAGGAGAAGCAACAGGAGGCCGAACAGAGAGAGAAACAGATTCAGGCTCTCTCAAAGGAGACCGAAGACCTGAAAAACAAGTATTGTGTGGTTTCTGAGAGGTGTGACACACTTGAGAAACAAAAGGTAGGGGAATTGACTTGACCACCCTCCATATGGCATTAGGGTTTTATTTCTTTAACTCTATTTTACAAGTGTACTGTCTAGAATTTTGAGCTTGAAAAATGCAGTTTATACTTCTGTCATGAAACACTTTCATGGTTAAATGATAGGGGTGTGACAATATATCGTGCCACAATATATGATAATACAAAAATGCAACAATATGTATCGTGGATAGTCCCCCCCAAAATAAAAATTACTATGTGAGAAAAAAATTCAAGTTTTCAGAGTTTTAGTTCAAGTACTAATGTTTAATATAATGTATAATGCAATTGGGGGGGGAGATATCTGTGTAAATTTATCTAGTCAGTAAAAGAGTGCAAGCATATTCGTCTAAAATAATTCTGTATTTTCATCTTCAGAATCATGAATATTGTTATTCTGGTGTCACCATTGTCCACTGGTTACAAGCACCAAGTCCAAGCCTATTTATTCAAACCTACAATGTAATATCAAATTTTGCATCTTAATTTAGCATCTTAATCCACAGTACATTTTTTTGTCAGCATTTTACCATATGTCTTGGAGTATCACAATAATATCATATTGTGTATAATATATATATATATATATATATATATATATATATATATATATATATATATATATATTATATATATATATATACTGTATAGACACAGTCAGGAATTGACAGGGTCCCTATATATATTTATGTAAATTATATACTATATTTTTGATTGTTTAACCATAATCTATAACCATAGAAACTGCATTTTAAGCTCATAATTCTTAACAGTACACTTTCCATTCTCTCTTATTAATTTAAGGGATAGTTCACCCAGAAATGAATCAATTAATTGATAGTTGTATTTGAGTGACTAATTATAACATTTTATATTGTATATTTTGTATTGTAATTCACCTGCTCGGGGACTGCAGATGGAAACTAGCTTAAGCTAAATCTGGTGGTGCAAAGCATATTTAATTAATGTTTTTTTGCACATTGTCCCTGTTGAAATAAATAAAATAAATAAATGAAATGAAATGAAAAATATTCGGTCATTAATTAGTCCCCATGTCATTCAAAACCCTCCAGCCTTGATCACTTTATATTTGAACAATGATGAGGAACAAAAGTATTACAGGTTTAGAGCGGTTGTTATTAATGTAATTAATCACAGAATTAGTATTTTTGGGTGAACTATCTGTTGAAAAACCTACAGAAATTACTTTGTTTTTATGTGCATATTTACTTTTAGGCTTATTAAAACAAGCAATATATTTATTTGTGTGTGTTGGGGGGTTAGTATGTAAATTCCTGTCATTTTAGCATCAAGGTATTTCCAAGCACTTGAGTGCATTCTTACACTAGATGGCAGCATTTCATCTCAAACAACTATTTTCTTACTCCGAGAAGCCGCCTAACTAGGGCTGATGGAGTGATGTTAGTAGACCACAGTTAACTATTTTATTATTTATTAAATGATAACAACATTGTTTTATTGAGACAATATCATTGGTCAGCTCAATCTCAGTTTTCTGTCAAGAAGAGTTCAGACTTCTTGGATTCAGTTCAGAGTTCAGGAAAATCATGCGCTACCAACACTAGACTAGGGTTAATGTTCGGGTTAGGGGTTTGCATTTGTGTAGTAAATCAGCACAGTGATTCTGTTAGTGAGTGGATATATATTTGCATGAAATTCAATAATATCATAAAAAATCTTTTATTCTTTAATCGTAGCAGAGAATCTCTCAGAGCTTTGTGAAAGCAAACAAATTCCTGTCGTCCATCTGAATAAATAAACATTAGAACTTCTAAATGTAAATATTCTCACTTTACTGGAATTAAATTGAAGTCAGTGGGCCATGTAACTGTCAGTGTTAGTTTATTATTAAATCATGCTAACAATTCATCCTTGTAAGAGATTGTCAACCTGTTGGTTGAAGTTCCTGTTCTGATCAGTTTGATTGCCTCAGCGGGGCATCGGTCAAAAAAGTGCTCAGTTTGCACTATACAAGATTGGCGTTTTAGCTTATAGGGGTGTAAATCTGACATTTAATGACCATATTACCAGATATTGATTCCCTTAGCCAGTTTTACGATATTTGCTGATGCCTCCAAACTTATTTTGTTTAGATTCAGAGGCCTGCGATTGATATGGATATTACAGTATTATGTGCTTATTTTTCACAATGTTACGTTTTTCTTCGCTCACAAATGCAACCAAAATATAACAGGAACAATTAACAGAAAATTGCAAGTCCTGTATCTCAACTGGAACTTCCACAACAAATAAATAATATGAAAAGTAATAAAATCTCAGTGCCAATTTCACCTCTTTTTTAATACTTTGACATCTTTTTACACATTGCATCATATAATTTGTTAATCACTAAATGTATGCATTGGTCCAAATCGATGTATCATTGGTTAAAGATTGGGCTAGTAATTCATAAATTGGTGGTTCAAACCCAAGAAGAGGCCAAGTAATTTATCTAAAATCTTTTTTGTAATTTTTAAGATGCGTTTTTCTTCTTTGCGATTACAATTGTAATCATCCTAACACATTTATCTGGTATTGATTTTGTTTTCCCCCCGTCAGGTTTCATCTGGTGAGCTTGCGACAGTGCAGGAGCAGTTGCGAGATGTGAGTTCACCACCGAAGAGCTTAGATGAGGCGTTCCTGTTGCTTTCTGCTAGATCTGTTCATCACCTCTCTCTGTTGTTTCTGATTCCAGGCTCTGGAGAAGAACCATAACTGGCTTGTTTACGACCAGCAGCGGGAGGCTTATGTTCAGGGCGTCTTAGCCAAGACCAAGGAGTTTGAGATGCAGTTAAATGAAGCAAATAAAGCACTCCAACAACAGCACAAAGAAGCCAGTTCAGATGGTCAAAATTCCTTAAAGACCCTCAAAGTGGACAGAATAATATTGTGGCTCTATGTAACCCAGCATCATCATTCATTCTCTCTTCTTGCCACACAGGCCAGTCTGCGCAGGATGCTCAGCGTGAGCTGGAGGCCGAACGGGCCCGTGTGAGCCACCTCCAGGCAGAAGTTAAGGATCTGAGAGGGAGGTATGAGGAGAAGAGCAGGGAAGCGGCTCAGGCATGGGAGCAGCTCCTGGAGGAGAAGAAAAGAGACCGAGAAACTCTGCAGGAGGAAAGGAGGTGTTCATCAGAGCGAACCGCTCGACTGCACGCTGAGCTGGAGGACGAGAGGAAGAGGGTGGCCGAACTACTCATGCAGGTACACATGCAGAATTTGCTGTTATAAAATATGAACCTCATTTTGGGTGTTGGGTCAATGTGGACTTTTTATTTGGTGAGCAGGGAGGCCAAAGGTCCTTCTCATGCCAATATACGTTATGCAGATTTAGTTGGCAAGTACATATATTGCAATTTTGTCAATCATGTACATATAATTTTACGTATATTTTATTTGGATAATAACAGAATACAATGGACTCGTTTAGCATCAGTGGCCAGTCTGGTCGCCACAATTTCAATATTAAATCTTGAAGAACAGGACAAAGCAATATGGAGCTTATTGAGGGTCGTTGATGTTATCATTTAATATAGTAATATGGGTAACGCTTCCTTACAGTGTACTTACCTAGAAAGTACTGGCTAATATAAGGTAAGTACATGGAACTGGGGTAGGTTCAGGGTTGGTACTAGTTATTACCCAGTAATTGTAGTTACTAAAATAAGTACATCGTATTTACATGGGTAACTGGGCTGTAAAAGGAAGCGTTACCGTAATATGTTATGTTTACTAGACCTGCAATAGTGAATTTTGTGCTGATGATAAATTGTCATACAGACAATCCCGATTAATGATTTACTGTAATTCTCTGCAGTTTTGTTTGTCGCAGGTGGATTAAACCCACAAACCTTTATTTCTTTGTGTGCTTTGCAAAAGGGTGGCCGTTTATTGTTTGGCAAAAATGTGATTCAAATAGAATATCTAAAATAATCTTGTTATAATTGCTTATTAATATTTGGATCAGTTAATAGAATTAACTTAATGTTTTACAATTAATATTATAATCAATTAACCACTTAGTGTTAATGGTTTGTCAATTCTTAGAAATGTACATTTCCGAGGTATGGTAAATGTGTTTGTTATTGTACAGTAATATTCAGAGCCTGTAGTCAAAATCTGCATGAACAAGACTTTATTAACTTGACTAAACAACTCTAACACACACATACATACGTGCATACAGTTTCCCAAGGGAAAAAGAGCTGGAGCAAAATACACAAAAGCAAGAAGTTATAGCATTGTTTGAAGTTCAACAGATCAACAGCTTTAGCAAACCATCAGTTTAGTTCTAACACGCATTTCTTTAAAATACTTAATGTAGCAAATAAGTTTGATACTTGCAAGTCTCACCCATTTGAATTAAACTGTCCTAAGAGAGCCAGTGGGAGTCAGAGGATCTTTGGTGAATGGAAAGACAAGGCCACAGCCTGGCGCAAGCTTGGGGTCCTTAAAAAACTTCAGTTAGGCGTCATCTTCACATTAGGATTTCAGAAAAGAACTAAGAGGCGTGATCTTAAAGCGTAAAGATGTCACACGCTCTACAGGGTTGTGAGCCAATGAGAAGTTGTTGCCTTTTGAGGGAATTTCTTTACGACCTTTTATTCTAGTAGGCCTCTGAACATGTAATTTGATTGGGTGTTTAAAAAAAAAATCTTTATAACTCTTATAATACTAATGCGTCACAAAGTTATCAAATCATAATGTGAATTGAACAGAAAACTGATATCTACCCGATTATCATCCATGAGTAATTGCCTGATTCCCTTTCGTTGTTTTTTATAAATTGAAGTTAAAATCTTTTTTTAAAATCGAACCAACATTGCAAACATTGAGATTGAGCACAGAAACATTTTGATCAAACTCAGCTCATCGCTCGCTCGCTGGCTAGAAAAATGAGCACTTCAATGAATCAATATTGCTATACTGAATTGCTATTTTTTTTTAATCGAATTGCGAAAGTTGCATCGATGCCCAGCTCCAATTCCCAAACACTGTCCATTTTGATTTCAAGTGCTTTTGGGAAACGCATCCATCTTGGTTGATATATTGGTATATATCTTCTCATTTGATTTGACTGACATATTACCTGTATTTGCTAGACAAAATGAGCTATTCTTTTTTTTTTTAAAGGTGAACCGAATGCAGAAATCCCTGATGAATCAGCAGGAGGAGCAGAAAAGAATCGCTATATTGGAACAACAGGTATTCAGATCACCCTTCAACACCAGCTTTCAATGTTTCATTCCTGGGTCAATGACATGAAAATCTTGCTCATGCTTTTGACTAATATGTATTTTGAGTGTATGTGCTGCTTGGACTGATCTACTTTAAACAGCGTTTCTCACAAGTCGCTTACTACGCCTTTAATGGTTACACCACATGACATATCTTTAAACCAAATGAAGCCAACATTAATTTCTAAAACGTGCATTTTGAACATGGATTTTAATCTAGCTTAATGAAGGGTTTTTTTTTTTGGTGTTATCACCCTTATTTGCCATTGACCATCCTACAGATCCTTTTGTCAGCCAAAGAATCTGAAAATGAAAAAGTAGACCGTCAAACTTTACAGCACCAACTGCACAAAGTTTTGAAAGAGCTGCGAAAGGCCAGAGACCAGATTACACGCCTGGAGTCTTCCGTAAGTTTTGAGATACTCCTTGATGCGTCCAGACATGATCATTGACGTTTTTAACGTGATTGTGTAATAATATGCTTGTATTGACCTTGTGCCTCAGAAACAGCAGAGAGAGTCTCGTTTCTCTGAGCCCAGCTCATGTAACAGGATGGATTTTGAAAGACTGACTATTCAAGATCGAACCACGTCTCCATCTAAAGTCCATAACATGCTCGATGAGAGTATGCTGGAGTGTCCGAACTGTGGCGCTTCTTACCCCACCAGCCAGCACAGAGAGCTGCTCGCACACCTCGACTACTGCTTCAGATAAAAGGCACCATTCTAAAGAAATGTTTCAGTATTTTCGATTTATTTGTTTCATCATATATATTTTTTTTTAAGAACAAAGTAGTCACATTTTTTAATTCTTGATTGTGAAAAGTTTGAAGGGACTTTTATTCTTATAAGTATGTTTACATGGGGCATATTTAAAAATATTTTAATTTATAATAAGTTTAAATGTGTATTATTTTCTTAGTTTGCTTTTGGTGACCAGGTTTCCCTTTTTATATGCAGTTCATATAATCAGTGTTGTACCCCCCAAAAAACTAAACATTTTTCACATAGTCCTTCACCGAATTGTCAACTCTACTTCAATAAAAGGAAAAAAGACAGACAAAACCCCTGTGTTTGTCTTGTATCCTCATGGCACCTCTGAAGTGTTACTTGTCTAGAAAAGACTCCAATCCATCAGTCCTGACTTTGCAAACCAAATCTGTCTTTAATTAGACTGCATTAAACTATTTAAAGGTGGGATTAGGTGAAGGAACAGTAGCCACAGGAGAACGAGTTTATTAACTCTTCGATCCCAGGAAGTGTCATACATTATTTCATTGCCAATTAAGCAATATATTTGAGTAAGAATAACTGACAGCAACAATAAAAAAAATTATAGAATCCTTCTGAGTGAGAGAGAGAGGGAAAAAGCATTTACATAATTACATAGGACATAAACTAGATTGAATTATTAGATCTCTGGTCATCTGTGAAGGCATTGGACATTCAATATATTTAACTTTTTTGCTCACCAGTCACTTTGTCTAATTTCCCAATAACATAATTGTGGCCAGTGAAAATGCTGGGTTAAAAAAAATATGGGAACCCAATACACAATATTGGGTGCACAAGAATGAGATGAAACGATATTTTAAAGGGATAGTTCACCCATAAATGAAAACTCTGTCAGTTTTCACTCACCCTCATGTTGTTCCAACCCCGTAAGACCTTCTTTCATCTTCGGAACACGAATTAAGATATTTTTGATGAAATCTGAGAGCTGGATCACTCCTCCATACTAGTCCATAGGTCTTACGGGGTTGGAACAAGGGTGGGTGAGTAATTACTGACAGAATTTTTGGGTGAACTATCCCTTAACACGTTTTAATAGTCTTTTATTCGCCTGAAATTCACAAAATGCAAAACAATGGAGGTGTGTTTTGAAATGGTATAACTAATATAGGGCTGTGTCACTAACTATTATTTTGGTAATCAAGTAATCAGTCGATTATTTTGACAATTGAGTAATCGGATAATACACTCACCTAAAGGATTATTAGGAATACCTGTTCAATTTCTCATTAATGCAATTATCTAATCAACCAATCACATGGCAGTTGTCAATGCATTTAGGGGTGTGGTCCTGCTCAAGACAATCTCCTGTACTCCAAACTGAATGTCAGAATGGGAAAGACCCTTCATGCCTTGTTACCAGGCTGGTGGTGGTGGTGTAATTATGTTGGGGGATGTTTTCTTGGCACACTTTAGGCCCCTTAGTGCCAATTGGGCATCGTTTAAATGCCACGGCCTACCTGAGCATTGTTTCTGACCATGTCCATCCCTTTATGGCCACCATGTACCCATCCTCTGATGGCTAATTCCAGCAGGATAATGCACCATGTCACAAAGATCGAATCATTTCAAATTGGGTTTCTTGAACATGACAATGGGTTCACTGTATTAAAATGGCCCCCACAGTCACCCGATCTCAATTCAATAGAGCATCTTTGGGACGTGGTGGAATGGCAGCTTTGTGCCCAAATCTCCATCAACTGCAAGATGCTATCGTATCAATATGGGCCAACATTTCTAAAGAATGCTTTCAGCACCTTGTTGAATCAATGCCATGTAGAATTAAGGCAGTTCTGAAGGCGAAAGGGGCTCAAACACAGTAGGCTTATTAGTATGATGTTCCTAAATGACTTAAAATACATATAAAATAACAAGGCAATAATTTTCTCAATAAAGATTGTTAAAATGTACAGCATGGTCAAATACTTGAAACGACTTCTTCAGGTTTTTATGTCTGACATACGCTGACGCGTGATTTGCATAACAAATCTGGTGAAATGACCTGTGTTGCATTCCTAGGCTAACGTAATAAACAACCAAAACTCACAGCATTTGGAGAGATGGAGTGGAAATGATGACAGTGCAACACGTCACTATGAAACAAAGCGTATCAGACTTTATATTTTTTCCCAAAAGCACTTTATTTTAAACTCAAACACATGCAGAGACTGAGCATTTACTGTAAACTGAGACGCTGAAAGAAAGCGTCGTACTTCACTCTAAAACCTGCAGGATATAGTTGGAGTTACAAAACACTGCTAAAATCGAGTGTTAATGTATGTATATTTAACACTCTGTTTTGTTTTATGTCCACTGACTCCTCCTCGCAGAACCTTTCAGAGATGCCCAGGTTTTGTGTATAAATGCAGTGGTGGGCCGCCTTCTCTGCTGGCCTTGTCAAAATCCCCCCAAAATTGTCATAATTAAATGAATGTGTCTAAATGGAATATTTTTTATGAAGCTGAGCTAGGTTTTCCAAGCGCCGTCTAAACGCATCGCACTAGCATAGCTTGCCTTCCGTCGAAGCTTCCTTTTCCATCTGATAGCTTTGACTGACGTGATCAGTCCAGCGATTTGTCGTCGGCTAGCCCCCGCTGATGTCATCAACAGGGGAGGAGGTTGTTTTATTTTATAGTCTTATATGTTGATATAACTCTTAAAAGATAAAACTTGTCAAATACATGTTCTTGTAACGCATTTCCTCATACTGACCTATATGTGTGCTGACACCCGCTGGTCTGTATCATGGTGCAAGTTGCGCAACATTTTGTCAACAAAAAACATTGATTTACGTTACCACAGTGCTGTTTGTATTGTTGGGTTATGAGTTTACCTTTGACTTTGACTCGCTAAACTACGGTGATAAATCAATCACTAAATTAAAAAGGAATTCATACTTGTTTTTTTATGTTTATTTGGAAAAAAAAGTTACACCATGCACTTTACAAACATTTTATTACACATTTTCACTTTTGCTTTGTGCAAAATTATTATCCATTCATTATTAAGTAATATGCGTAATAATTTACATATCAGCTTGAAATATATAACAGATTACATCCTCAGAAGCTCTTTTAGGCAGTGGTCATTTAGGCAGCCTCACAGAAACCTGTACAATTAAACAAAGCAAAAACACATCAGCCCATTTAGATCCGAACAATGTCTGATCATGAGTGCATACTCGTGATGATAATTCATGAGGCTCAACCATCTTACCAGTGTGTGAAACACGTCTGTATTTGCCCAGGAAGCAGATCTCCTGTTTCTTCTCCGTCACAATCTTCTGGTCTTCAGGCCTGAGGCCTTCAGGGTGTCGGGAGAATATGAAGGAATAACCATCCAAGCAGGTTCCATCCTCATCCAGCTCTCTGCACGAGTAGTGGATGGCGTAGTTATCGTAGTCGGTGTCAATGATCCAGTGGTCGTCATCTGTGAAACGGTCACAAACAGTTCATGAGCAGATGACCTAACATGACATTAGCACATGACAAATCTACACTTACATCCAGTCTGGAGATATGCAGCAGCTCCCCAGTATTTCATCTTGAACCTGGCGGGGTCTTCGGTATCTTCAAATGTGCCAAACATGTTGGCGCACATTTCCCAGTTGCTGAAGAGCAAAAACGGCATGCGATAAATCGAATGTTTTTTTATTGCGCAAGTGCACGGCGTCAACATAAATTCCCACTTAAACTCACTTGAGAATGATGACTCTGCCGATAGCAGTGGCTGTCATGGTTCCATCTTCCTCCACTTTGAAATTGGCAACAATATTATCAAGAAGGAAAAGACCGACAGGGTCTTTCTTGGCCACGGCATACCATGTTCCTTGATACTGCAAGGTCAGTGGAGATGTATGAGGAACAAAAGTTCAAAAACAACGACTTAAAAAGGACTTAAAGACTTACCCTCGTCCTGTCGAAGTCCTGTTTGACGGTGATGTTGCTGACCAGACAGTCCTGCGCCCAGCATGTGGCCAGGACACAGAGAGCTATGCAGAACCTAAGCATGGTGCTTCTGTGCTCGAGCTGTGGGAAATGAGTACAACAGTTAGGAAAACACCAACACATGCATCGCTCTGTCGTCCGTCAAACAAATCCTAAAGTGCGTACCTTGATCACAGTATCTGAAGTGCCTATCTCTCAGCTGCAGCTGCGTTTATATAGGGCCAAGATTCTGGGACCCTACATTCAAAACCCCACCCAACGACCCAAAATTAGGTCTCCACCATCCCTGTCATTGGACAAAAGCCATTACATAACAGCAGTGTTTCAGGTCTCTGTAGAGCGCGGTAGCGTTGACCTCTGCTCCCCAAATGTGTTTTTCATCAGATTGCAGCTGGGTTGTGCAAGAGCTTGAGCTGAAGCTTAAATAAACGGAATTCTTCAGCACATGCCGGCTTGAGTGCATTTCTGATTCATTTTACCTTGAAACCGGTTCAATCGGGAACATTTCTGTTTTGTTGTGAGTGTAAAACCATTTCTTTCAGGTTCGTAACTCTGACATCATTGACGTCGTTTAGTATCATTGACATAAGTTAAGTAGTTTTGCAAAACTAGGTTTGCGATAACCTCAATTCCTGGGGAAACCTTGAAAAAGGTAACTTATGTAACCTTATATATTGTGGTGGAATGTAACGAAGTACAAAGACTTTGTTACTTTACTTAAGTACATTTTTCACGTATCTTTACTTTACTTAAGTAGAATAAATAGTACATACTTTTTACTTTTACTTCGTTACATTTTGCAGCAATTATTATACTTTCTACTCCACTACATTTCTACAACACGTTCATTACATTTTCTGATCAGTTTTTCCCCTGCCAAAACGTAATCTGACCATCCGTTCGTTGCACGTTTGTCTCACCAGTGACGTTTGGTTGCCATAGATGTATCAACCCGGTCACACTAAATGCGTCTAGCACGCAGTGTGTTTTTATCGTGCAATTTTTGACGCGAAAATGTGTTTTTACGTGCATGGAAACACACCGTGTGTAATATACGTTTGGTTAGGATTATGGCAAGCCAAGAGGTTCAGAATTACACCATAAATTAATCGCGTTATATTGCCTAATTGCAAGCTTGTTTCAGAAATGATGACAATTTTTTTCATCATTATTGAACATCATTATAGGAGTATTAGGTTGAATGAGTTAGAATTAAATGTTTTATTAATCATTAGAAAATAGTCATTAAGAGAATAAATTGTTATGCTTTTACTTTTAATACTTAAAGTACATTTAAAATCAGGTACTTTTTACTTAAGTATGGTT